CCTTCCTAGGGGTAGTAATGACCATTCCCAACTCGGGACCCGTCGGGTATACCCGTCATGTGTCCGGGTATAGGTCCAAATATTTGGACATGGCAGGTCGGGTCCGGATCCAAGACCGGGACCCAAACACTATTTGGATCCTTGTCTAGATCCGGTTTTGATTAAGTGACACGGAAGACTTAACACTAACCTTCTCCACTCATTGTTACAAAAAAATAATTAGTGATCAAATCACCTTAAAATCAAAGGTCACAAGTGATTATATTGGTACTAATAAGGACAAACAAACAAGTTGCTGATATATTTATGAAAGGACCTACTATCACAAATTCTTCATCACAGAAAATAACTCGAAACGATCAGAGGGTCAACAATTGTAGTAAGCCATTGTTGAGGGGGAGAATTGTTGGAACAACACGTGGCTTTCTCTTTTCTCAACTCATTTTCTCTCTCTAGATAAAATGAGTCATATCTTAAAAATCCATTTTTGAGATGGATTTTTGGACCTAATTTTTAAGGATATGCAATCTCTAACATGGAGATCATGAATATAAAAAATAAATAAATTTTGAAAATTAAAAGAAATAATTCTATTAAAAAAACCTTTTGACCGTTAGTTTCAATTGCTTCTAAATGGATACCTCGCGGACCGCAAATGTAGAAATGCGGTCCCCACCGCATGAAACAATTTTCCATTAAAGGGATGCAACTAAACATTGGTACTTACCAAAGAAAGAAAAAACACAAGTTTATTCCAGTTAGTTGCATAAAAAAGAGAAAATCATTGGGTCTCTTTAATAAGGTCTTTGTTCTTCCCCCTTATTGTACAAAGACAAAAAATGAAAAAAATTAAAAAATGGAAGGAATGAGAAGGCACATTCCGTCATTCCATAACCAACTACCATTATTGGCAAGAAGTAGGCCACCCTTTTGAAAGAAAACAAAGATAATCCTCTTGTCTGCTCACAGCCGCAGGTGAATGTGCAGGGTGCCATGTTACCTTCTAAATGAATACCTCGAGGACCGCAAATGTAGAAATGAGTCATATCTTAAAAATCTATTTTGGAGATGAATTTTTGGACCTAATTTTTAAGGACATGCAATCTCTAACATGGAGATCTTGAATATAAACAAAAAAAAAAAATTGAAAATTAAAAGAAATAATTCTATTAAAAAAACCTTTTGACCGTTAGTTTCAATTGCTTCTAAATGGATACCTCGGGAACCGCAAAGGAAGAAATGCGGTCCCCACCGCATGAAACAATTTTCCATTAAAGGGATGCAACTAAACATTGGTACTTACCAAAGAAAGAAAAAACACAAGTTTATTCCAGTTAGTTGCATAAAAAAGAGAAAATCATTGGGTCTCTTTAATAAGGTCTTTGTCCTTCTCCCTTGTTGTACAAAGACAAAAAATGAAAAAAATTAAAAAATGGAAGGAATGAGAAGGCACATTCCGTCATTCCATGACCAACTACCATTATTGGCAAGAAGTACGCCACCCTTTTGAAAGAAAACAAAGATAATCCTCTTGTCTGCTCACAGCCGCAGGTGAATGTGCAGGGTGCCATATTACCTTCTAAATGGATACCTCGGGGACCGCAAATGTAGAAATGAGTCATATCTTAAAAATCTATTTTGGAGATGAATTTTTGGACCAATTTTTAAGGACATGCAATCTCTAACATGGAGATCACGAATATAAAAAAAAAAAAATTTGAAAATTAAAAGAAATAATTCTATTAAAAAAACCTTTTGACCGTTAGTTTCAATTGCTTCTAAATCGATACCTAAGGGACCGCAAATGTAGAAATGCGGTCCCTACCGCATGAAACAATTTTCCATTAAAGGGATGCAACTAAACATTGGTTATTCCAGTTAGTTGCATAAAAAAGAGAAAATCATTGGGTCTCTTTAATAAGGTCTTTGTCCTTCCCCCTTGTTGTACAAAGACAAAAAATGAAAAAAATTAAAAAATGGAAGGAATGAGAAGGCACATTCCGTCATTCCATGACCAAGTACCATTATTGGCAAGAAGTAGGCCATCCTTTTGAAAGAAAACAAAGATAATCCTCTTGTCTGCTCACAGTCGCAGGTGAATGTGCAGGGTGCTATGTTACCTACACATGGATAAGGGTAAAATGCCTAGTACTTCACTCTACAAGGCCAATATAGAAAGATCTAAAACCAATATAGCAAGATGTGTCAGTATGATTATCATTTTATTAAGAATGGGCTGGGTTTTATTGAGAATAGGCTGGGTTTTGGTGGCAGTACCATTATGATGAAGTTTTTAGCTTCATTCCGACCTCAAATCCCCACCGACTTATCTTATTATTATTATTACCATTATTATCATTTTATTAGTAAAATATTAAAATTTTAATGCATATACAAGTAACTCATATTTTGTATATATATATTTTTTAAGAAATATTATTCAATGAAACTTACCTTTGATACAAGGTAGTCATAACTAATTTTGACAATTACATATGAAATTGGGTGGCTGCATTTATCCCATTAACTAAACTCAAAATTCAAAAGAAATTATTTTGAACTTTGACACATCAAGTTATCAAATTTCTTTGGGCATAGAAGTTCAAAATAATTCCTTTTTTAAACTCAAGCTATCAATGTATACATAGTATCATTGTATAAAATATATTTATACCCCTTATCTTTAGGTTTCATTTCTTCATAGACTTAAAGTTTAAAAACCTATCTTTAAAAATAGAAGTTGTAGGTCTTATATCTTCTAACTCCCCTAAACTAATTTTACCAGTTTCAGACCTATTTTATTATCCAAACAAATTTGAAAAAGACATATCCTTTCTAACCCATCATTTCTCTCTCTTCACGTGATATCTCTTAACTTCTCTCTCCAAACTCTTCCCAAATCGTCTCTCTCTCCACATTTTCCCATTCTCTCTCTCCATATCCTTTGCGTAACCGAGATTTGCCTTGGGAACACCCTTAATCTCTCTCGCCCATTGACTCTCCCCAATCCCTTCTCTTTTGTACTATTTTTCCCATTCTCTCTCTCTCTCTCTGTCTCTTGCATTACCGAGATTTTTCGTGGGAACACTTGCCAGAAAACTTGTCGGAATCTGTACATTTTGGTCAAAGAACTTTTGCAAAAATGTAATAGCGGCTGCATCTTTGGAATCTAATAATGCCCTCTGATGAGCTATTACTAACCCTAGCCATCTCCTGTCTCTTCCAAGCTTCCTCTCTCATAACCCTCTGTTCCACTATCTTCTCTATTGTCCACAAAAACTTATGTTGCAATTCCCCTATTGCTTCTCTATCCCCTGCATCATGAGGTTATGAAAAATACCATCCTCTCTCTGTATTTTCGCTTGTGGGTATTGCCAGAAATCGATTTGTTTTTACCAAAATCTAATGATGACCCGAAGAGAAGCTTATTCGTCCACTTTGGTTGACTAGAATATTTTGGCAAAAATTCTGGCTATCACCTTAGCCGTGTTGTTATTGGTAATGGTGGTGTTATTGATATTGGTATTAGAGTTAGGAATAAGATTGTTATTGTTATTGTTGAGAGCTTCTAATTGCGTAGAGAACCTCTGAGTCTTGCCATTTTGCCTTCCTACTCTTCCATCTTTGATTCTCTTGTAATATATTTGGATGTTTTAGAGCAGCATTATCTTCAATTTTGAACGTTTTCTAATGTGGATGTATGCAATAAAGAGTATATTGGGAAAGGAAGAGAACTCAAATTATTTGCCGGTGTAAGAGAGAGAGCTATCTACCTGAAAATAGAGCGAGTTGAACAAAAAATTATGTGGGTTCCAATAGCCATGAAATTCAGACTGAAATTTAGAGAGAGACAAAGTGATGAAATTTTGTCTGAAATTTAGAGAGGGATGAAATTGAGTCTGAAATTTAGACTGAGAGAAGGGTTGGGAAACACCGGGAGAGAGAATGAAGGAAAATAGAGATAGAAGGGGTTTGGGGAAAGTCAAGAAAGGGAAGTTTAGAGAATATGAAGAGAGAGAAATGATGAGTGTAAAGAGCATGTCTTTGTTATATTTTTTTGGGCTGAAAAATAGGTTTAATGGGACTAAAGCTAGTTTTAAAACATGGTTTATTAAAAAATGAAACTTAAAAATAGGGGCTATAGAGATATTTTACCTTTTAAATATCCCTTTGAAAGAAAATGTCAATTTAGTCACCATCTGTCGCTACACCAAACTTCTTCAAACATAAAGTATCTAGATTCTATAACTATAGTTACAAATAAGGTATCGCGATAATGCATGGCAAAAAGATATAAAACCCCTCTCTCTAAAATAACCTATGGAATCCCCAAGTTAAATAAAAAGAGACCTTTAACGCCTCTTTTTATCTTTTTTCTTATCCAAATTATAAAATTTACCCTTATGTTTTTTTTAATAACATCATCATAAACATCAAGCCACCACATTGTGGTTTCCATTCGTACCATTAACATCACGCCACTAACATCTTAAAAATTCTAACTCCTTACCTACTTAAGAAAACGGATAGGACCCATCTTTCCCATTGAATTACCAAAGAAAAAGAAAGCGG